GCCCGCCCGCCCGCCCGCCCGCTCACGTGATAACATAATACGTCCCCATCTTCGACGGGCGTATAAAAACAGGAAATACCTACCTTTTGGGAGGAGTAGGGATGACCTTCACTTTGAGAGACAATTTCAATGTTGTTCTTCTTGGTTCTGTTTCCTCACCCTGAAAAAAAAAAACAGCCAAATTTGGTCACAACTTTTATCACAGAATTTTTGTATCAAACTACAGAATACTAGCAACGGCAAGAAAGAATAAGCCAATCATTATTATTTATAGAACATAATGTTTGCAACATACTAGACTACATACAGTCAAGTAGAAAAAGTAATTAAATATAAAATCAATTTTTTACTTTATACACCAACAATGTACGTATTGAATGTGTTGCAACGTTTCAAACGGACTGGTCTCTTTGCCAAGTTATGACTGAGTGAGCGATTTGTATTGTTGTTATACCTGTACAACGACGAGGCGAAATTTTACATTTCATATGTCACTTGAACCGGTACATTTTGCCTATCGATAGTGAATGTATGCACACTGAATCGAATAGGTTACTGGTAGTGTGTAGATCTAGCTTCCTCTCCCATAAACATAAACTTTTTAACGAATTCCAAGGGAGTAGGGACAACACGATAGAATCTAGATTATAGATGATTTATTCACATATGCAATTGACATGTTTCGGCTCGATGCTGAGCATTCATCAGAACAGCTATAATTTAGATTCGGCCATTGTCCCCGCTCCCCTGGATTTCGTTGATGAGCTATTAGCAGGGACGCTGCATACTGCAGTTGTTCACGGCGCTAATCATCAGAATTGCATTGTATTTTCAACTTATAAGAGACTTTATGTCTCCAACCCCCTTGAATAATGATCTTTTTTAAATCAAAAGATTTGGAATCAAGTATATGCAGGGAAGGAAATAAGGGTAGCCAAATAGTCTGAGACTATTGAAATCCTCAGGTAGACAATTGGTTATAAAAACCAAAATTTGATAATGTTAAATACTATTGGGTTGGTGGAATTTGAAACTAAGATTATGAGAAGTTCTTTTTACACAACAATAAAATGTTCTATGTGGCGTTTCGATGACTAGTACGATATGTACACTGTCACCTTCATCAGACAATTCACTGGTCATTTGTCTGATGAAGGTGACAGTGTACATATTGTATTAGTCATCGAAACGTCACATAGAAAATTGTATTGGTTGTGTAAAAAGAACTTCTCATAATCCATACTTACCAACCTGAAGAAAATGTTTAGAAATATGGAAACTAAGATGTATCCTTGAACAACGCTCCCTCTGTCTGTGGACACTTACCTCAGGAGGAGACTCTATGATGAGGGAGAGGTGGCCCTGAGCGATGCCCTCTGTCTGTGGACACTTTCCTCAGGAGGAGACTCTATGATGAGGGAGAGGTGGCCCTGAGCGATGCCCTCAGTCTGACGACACTTACCTCAGGAGGAGACTCTATGATGAGGGAGAGGTGGCCCTGAGCTATGCCCTCAGTCTGTGGACACTTACCTCAGGAGAAGGCTCTATGATGAGGGAGAGGTGGCCCTGAGCGATGCCCTCCGCCTGTGGACACTTACCTCAGGAGGAGCCTCTATGATGAGGGAGAGGTGGCCCTGAGCGATTCCCTCAGTCTGTGGACACTTACCTCAGGAGGAGACTCTATGATGAGGGAGAGGTGGCCCTGAGCGATGCCCTCCCAGGCGTTACCACCCTTGGCGACAGACAGGGACACGGCTAGGTATCCAGACCACGGCCACAGGGAGGATGAGTAGGACAGCGCCACCTCCAGGTAGTTACCGTGGTGAGGTAGGTACGGGTGCCACGTCGGCTGAAACGGTGGTAAAATGAAATTGATCAGTCAAAATGTTTGGTTTCTTCAATAACAATGTCCAGCACTTGAAAACAGATCAAGTTCAGGGAATATATTCTGAAAATACTTCTGTTTACAACTTTTAAAGTTTATAGACATAGAATTTTCAATTCCATTATGTTCAAAAACTTCTGCCTCACCTTGTCAACAATCTTTCCCGAGACGCCCATTCCATTTAGAATAGTGACCTGAAAATACAGCGGTATTCGTAAAATAATCATAACGATTCTTTTAACACTGGTGGGTGTTCAATATTCAGCCTACTTCTTAAAGCTTGAGTTATTATTTAGTGCATTTACACAGTGGTTTTTTCAACACGACCAAGAATTATATTGCTGCTCACGTATCATGGACTCCTATCTGTCCATGTCAAATGGTTCTACTGTCAAATGAGACACGACTGCAAATATAACATTCAAGAATTCACAAGAGAAATTTGGAATAATATGTTTTAAGACATAGTATTTGCAAACAATCTGTAACAAATTTACATAAGTGTCATGACACTTGTTTTTGTTTCCTTTTCTGTTCTACAAAACATGTACTTTGAAGTATTGTCAAACAAAATTTGAATAAAACAAAGTTTTAACCAACAATCTGTACATGTAGCTGTAAGAAAGACTCACATTAATGATGATAGGCATCTGTCCGTAGTAGAGAGGTTGTGAACAGTAGGGCCACATGTACGGGCACTCCGTCAGGTCAATATAGCTGGGGCTCAAGCTGTGGACAGACAAGGTACAATCTTCAGGGAAATAGGTTATAATGTTACTGGATCCAGGGAACAAATTACAAAGTAACTGTCTCAAGGGAACATTTTACACAATGTTACTCTCTCCAGGTATCAGATAAAACATAATGTTACTGACTCTAGGGAACAAATTCTGATATTACTGTCTCCAGGGAAAAGACAACTAACAACGTTACTGTCTCTAGGGAACAGACAACTAACAACGTTACTGTCTCTAGGGAACAGACAACTAACAATGTTACTGTCTCCAGGGAACAGACAACTAACAATGTTACTGTCTCTAGGGAACAGACAACTAACAACGTTACTGTCTCCAGGGAACAGACAACTAACAACGTTACTGTCTCTAGGGAACAGACAACTAACAACATTACTGTCTCCAGAGGAAAGAAAAGTAGCATATTCAAGGAACAGACAACTTACAATGTTACTGTCTCCAGACATAAACAAATTACAATGTTACTGTCTCCAGACATAAACAAATTACAATGTTACTGTCTCCGGGGTACAATGTTACTACCTACCTGGCCTGTGGTTTGTAGGTACGCAGTGTCTGGTAGGCCTTGATAAGGTCCAGCTTGCCGTGACCCTGCTCAAACATATTAACATCGGGGAGACGTCTTGCTGACGCCATCAAGGCCTGCTTCATACTGGCAGGATTGATCACATGGGCTCTGTCCAACACAGCACTGTCAAAAACAAGTATTACAATGTACAGCTCATCTGTAATTTGAAGCACAGGACTTATTACAAAGTATTTGCAGCATAAAACTGTCAAGTGGAAACTTTCATGATGATCACTGCAGAGATAGTTTGCCTAATTTCATGTTAACTCAACAAGCATGAAAGAAAACATCAGAAGCAAATATATTGACTCATAAAGGAATGTATTGTTGTCAAAGCCACAAAAAGTTGTATCTAATACTCCCAACTCTTTCAAAGTTAATACTCCATCTTCAATTTCAATAATTTCAAACTTTTGTTATGTGTTGTGCACAGAGACTTTTTTCCTACAAACACAACTTTGAAATTAATGTTTTGTTACTTTCCATGAATAAAAGACAAATATCGACACAAAAAATTGTAAAAGTGACACCTATGACTTTCCAGTTCTTACATTTGACAACATTGTCAGTGCAATTAATAACAATAACTGTCTATAAGTGACACCTCCGACTATTACTATTTAAAGCAGATTTTAACTGGAGATGCCAAAAATGACCCTTATTCTATTTTGCCAAAAAATACGTTTCTCTCTCTCAATAAATAAGAGCCAGCAGGGGATGAAATTGGCAGCATGTGGAAATGGTGTTCTTGTATTATTTTTCCAAAATTAAAATCAAAACATTCAGGTTGTGTCACCGAAGAAATTTTGATGCATTTCTAGACTGCTCCACTGTTATCTTCAAAGGACAGGTATATATCAGCCTAGCGATTGTTCAGTTTTTTTTTACCCGAGACCAATCAAATAGCTAGTTGCATGCCTTCAATTTTGCTCTGACATATTCCAGTGGTGCAGAGAGCGATAGTAAGGGAAACCCCCTGGCGTAACGAGGATGCATTATACCTTGCAAACTCTAGACTGATATACAGGTCTTTTTATGGCCGAATATGGGCCAGTTCCCCTCTCCAATTTGGCATTATTTTCCCCTATTTCAGTTAAAAATTCACCTACTTGTAACTAAAATACTTCCTCATGAATATCTGTCTTGGTTTCATTTTTCTTTTTATTGATCATCAGCTCCACAACTGAGTGATTTATTTTATTTTCTCTCGTGTTGATGTTAATTGTCACTGCTGATATTTCATTATCTATAATAAACAGCGAGAAACAAACTTTAAGATGTAATCCATGCCCCCCCCCCTCTCGTACTCTCCCCCTGGCTCTGGCCTGCAGCCCTCGCTGGACAGGTCATGCACCTACAGCGTATATTTTCCCCTATTTCAAACAAGAGGCCCATAGGGCCTGTATCGCTCACCTTGATATCTAAGCAATCATGGCAGAATATTCTCCAAATGAGATCCAAGGGAATATGCCAGACCCCAAGGCCAATCCTTGTAGCATATATATCTGTATTCAATTTTTCATGCCCAGCAATTTTATGTATGGTTATGGGGTGGGGATCTCAACTGTTTCCAAGCTGTGACGCAGAAACTAGGTCCCTACGGTTGTGGCCAGACCCCAGGATCAATTCTAATATCATGACTGCATTTGTCTCTTT